TATACTCCCACTAAATTTTTCAAATTCTCTAAGTTTTTATCTTCCGATTATCAATCTTATCCACCTCGGAGATTTTAACGGTCATCTTATCGACTTAAAGCTAAAAGTTCGTTCGGACGATGGCCACGTCCTCGGACAGAAAAAGCTCTTTTCACCGCCTCGGTTACAGCGCGCTATATAAACAGTCGAGATAATTCGGTCGGAGATATCTTGCCATAAAGAAATTGTCTTCAGAAAACCCAGTTGACCTCAACACTGGTACCCCAGTTCGCTTCTAAGCACTGGTACCGACTATATCAGCTCGGGTCGCAACCGATAAAGATTAGTCTCATATAACCAAAACCCAGTTACTTTAACACTGGTAAAACGATCCTTTTCACTTTCAGTTCGGAAGTTGAAACGGTTCGGGAGAAATTAACCTTGTGGTCTCACTTACAAAAACCCAGCTATCTTAACACTGGTTCGCTATTCCGAAAGATAACTTCTACTGAACCAAAATTCATCCTTACCAAAATCCAATTACGTTAACATCGGTGTATAATTCAGTTCGGATGTTAAAACGTTTGAATTGACACTGGCGCACGATTCTTTTCGTTTTCGGCTCGGAAGTTAATACTATTGGGCATGTCGTAAACCCAGTTACTCAACACTGGTATCGGATTCAAAAAACATGTATTCAGGTGGATAAAGCCATCCAGGCATAAGTTTTTACAAAAGACTCGAAACAAAAAAAAAGAGAAAAAGAAACGCCTCGGACTTATTCGTCCCGCTCCTCGACATGTGCTGCCACGGGCGGCAAAAATGTGCCCGCCTGATCCGTAATGCCAATCCCCGCGGCAACTCCCTCGATTGATCTGTTTCCGAAATTATCTTCAACAGAATCTGGAGAAGCCGGAGGAAGCCTCAGATCCTCTCGCAGCTCGGTTCCAATCCGCACGAACTCTTCCTCGGCATCTCCGTACTCCGCTTTCCACTGGAGCACCTCCTCCTTCTCATCTTCGACGTTTTTGCCGCCTTCAAGATCGGCAATCAGTTCGGCATTAGCCCTAGCCTGGACCAGGAACATGTAGCGCTCGGACGCCTTCCCGTATAGGTCCATCTTCGCCTCTATCGCCTCGATCTTCTTGGCGAACTCCTTCTTGGCCGCTTTCCTCTCCCGACCTACCTCCTTCTCCCGAAGAGATTTCTCCTCGGTAAATAGTCGGTTCAAGCGTTCGACTTCAGCCTCCAACTTCCGACGAAGGCGAAGACCATCCTCGGCCGTCTTTAAACGCTCGACCTTCTCTGCTTTGGCCAACGCTTCGGCTTTCCGCCTGGCCTCATCTGCCTCGGCAATCATGGTCGCCGCCTCGGCAATTTTGGCCTCAGCCTCGGCACTCTTGGCATCCGCCTCGACTATCCTGGCATCAGCCTCAGCAGCCCTGGCGTCCGCCTCGGCTCGGAAGGTCTCGTATTTCCGGTTCGAAGAGTCGTAGGCTCGAACCATGCTGTTCATCGAATGAAAAGCCTGGGATGCAGAAGTTTAAGTTAGTACAAAAAATTCTAAATTTTGAACGACCGAGGATGCCTCGGAAATGAACCAATACCTTCAGGAATCCCGCAGCGGTTTCGCGGTAGTTTTGAGCCTCCAACAAGGCCTCGGGAGCAGGCAGTGGTGGACCCGAGCAAGAAGCGACAAAATTCGCCGAAGCGATCTTGTCCTTGTACACTGGAGGAGTTTCGCTACGACTCCTTTTCTCCTTCCTAGAAACTCCCGAGCCATCACCTCGGGGTCTTTTTCCCCTAGATTTGGATTTCGCCTCGGCGGCTGGAGCAGCAGCGACCAGAGCCCCTACCACCTCGGGGACGTCGGTCGTAGGGGAGATGTGTCCGGCCATCTCGGGGACGATCGAAACCACATCCCGAGCCTCATCAGTTGCCTCGGCACCAATAACGACCTCAGGGTTGGCCTCGGGAGGAGTAGGAGGTCTGAAGTTTGCCTCCAAAACGGCTTTTTCCTTAGCCGCCTTCTTTTCAGCAGCCTTCCTGGCTCTCAGAGATTGCGCAGCGCCTTGCATTTCGATGAGGTGATCTAGACGGTGATCAGATGATTCTGAAGAAGACTGGCAGGGAGCTCCGTGCAACAAACGCAAGGCTCTCTCGATTCTCTCCTGGGAGAAGTGTTTTGTCCAATCGCACTTCCGAGCAATTAGTTCGTCGTGGAGATCTAGAAAACCTTCGGGAATGTCTTCGAGAAACGACGGGTTCCGATCTGCATGAACAAGAAAAACGGTTAGTGAAAAGTTTAAAGCAAAACAAGGCAGCAAATACGGCTTCGGGCGCAGTACCGATTTGTCTCCACTTTCCAACGACTTTCCCTAAGTAGTCCTCGTGGACACTATATTAATTCAAGGCTACGAAGAAGAAATGGTCGGTATATTTTTCATCCTTGCTCGGGAAACCGCCGATAACCCTCCTATTTGGCCTCGGAGATATGTAAAATCTCTCGACAGGGCCCGGTATGCGCCGGATCTCTAGGAGATTCCTCAAGTGGCTTAGGTCAACCAGATTGACCGTCTCAATACTTCGGACTAAAATCCCCACTAGATGCCGCAAGCCTCGGGTCGTTATCTGGGATAAAGCAATCTTGTACGACCACAGAAACGCCAAAATCGGCCTCGGGATTGGAAGCCAAAGGTAGCAATGATAGAAGAACCCCTCGTAAAGGGTAAAAAACCCCTCGGGTGGATCATCGGCTCGCTCATTTGGAGTTGGAAGTCTCAGTTCAACCCCCTCGCTAAAACCAATCCGAGCCTTGAGATCCCGAAGGGAATCCTCCGTGCATAAAGTAAAACCCGGGGGATCAGGTTTCCTGGTCTTCTTGGCTCGTTTTCTCTTCTGTTGACCCTTGGCTGCTTGGACTTTAGATTGAAGCAACCTAGCCGCCTCGTCAGAATCGTAGTAAACTTCCTCGGCCTTAATAGGAAGTAGAGGCGCCTCGGGGGCATTTCGCCAGCACGATACTCCAGCTTCACCAGCTGCCGGTGGATGGATCCTCCTCCTACTCAAAGTCGCCTCGGGATCATCAGGCAAATCCTGATCCCGAGCCACATTCGCAATCGCGTCTTCCCGAACGATGAAACGGCTCGGGTCTTCTTCCCGTGAAGCCAACTCTGCATCACTACCACGGTACAACACGATCTGATTGTCCGTGGTATCCGCCTCGGGGTCGCTCGAGGAACTCCAGACCATCTTCCTCTTGTAGACGGGGAGAAGAGTGTCGCCTCGGGGCGAGTCGCTGGAATCAGAGAAAGACATTTTCTGGCTCGGGAGATTGAAGAAGTTGATCGGAGGAATAAAGTTTGACAGATTGGAGAAATCAACCTAGATCTAATGACGGTGGCGCTATGACGGAAGTATTAACGGAAAAAGTAGAAAACGCAAGAAATCAAGATCAGAGAGAAGAGAACGAACCTTGAAAATTTTCCTTTGCAATTGCGAAATGAAAAAATGAATCGAAGGCTTAGCATTTATAGAGATTTGGGGCACGTCGGGTACGAACGAGCCAAATAAAACACATCGAATCCGCGTCTGAGGCGCGTCGGGCACAAACGAAGTGAATAGGATACTTCGCATCCGCACGAGTCTCGGGAATCAGCGAAAGGACCTTTCCACTTCTCGAGAAGGAATCCCAACCGTCACACGCCAAGAGAAGATGAAACGACAGGAATTCGAATCGCCAAAAACTTTAAAGGGACCGAACTGATCGAAGTAAACGGCTCGGCCTAAATGTCATAAAGCTCATCACGCTTGGTTCTCCAAACTAACGAGCTGGGGGGCTAACTGTTGGGGTCGGGTTCCACCCTTTGGCGCCGAGCCAGACTTAGAACACTTCGGGAGTCTTTCAGAGATCATCTCGGGGCATCGCATCATTCACCTCGGGATATCTGTCTAATCGATTTAGTATACCCGAGCCCATCGCCTCGGGGATACTTAAACAAGACGTCGAAAGCACCCGAGCCCAATTGCCTCGGGGGTACCCAAGCCCATCGCCTCGGGGATATCCTGAACAAGACATCGGAAGCACCCGAGCCCAATTGCCTCGGGGGTACCCGAGCCCATCGCCTCGGGGATACTTAAACAAGACGTCGAAAGCACCCGAGCCCAATTGCCTCAGGGGTACCCGAGCCCATCGCCTCGGGGATATCCTGAACAAGACATCGGAAGCACCCGAGCCCAATTGCCTCGGTGGTACCCGAGCCCATCGCCTCGGGGATATCCTGAACAAGACGTCGAAAGCACCCGAAGAAGTCATCCTAGAGTGCCCGAGCCAGTCCTTCCTGTGTACCCGAGCCGGTTGCACAAGTTCCACGAGGTGAAGTCTTCATCATCGCCCGAGGTAAAGACTTGGTAAATATTCGCTTTCAAAGTACCATTTCCAAGCAAGGTATCATTTCCGAACAAGAAGGATCATTTCCGATATACCCGGAAATGATAAGAGAGAATCTAGAAGGATCGACTCAAATCAGGAAATCCCCCAAAGACTCCGAAAAATAAGGAAATTATCCTAATCCGCGATATTCTGAGCCGACTTCAAGATAAATGGAAATCTTCCGAGAATATCGCTGGAGAGGCGGTTTATCACCCCTACATAAAGAGACTCAAGGCTCGATCAAAGGCAAGCAATATCGCTCTAGAATTTACACTACGCAAAGCTCTCATAGCACAAACATCTTTTTCCTTTTACGATCAAACTCTTGTACGATCAAAGTCATCTTTTTCTTAATAATATCAAGAACACCATCTTTGGTCACAATCGTTTCTGTTGTTCTTTGAGAATTCACGATTATCGTATCCCTAAAATAAAACCCTAGACAAATCTTGATTGTGTTAGTTTCGACTTCCACAGTCATAGAAAATAACTCGTTCATAAAAATAAAAAAAAACTGTAAAGGGTTCAAAAATAAATCTTTCAGCCCAAACACGAGAATATAACTTTTCCATCGAGACCGAAGAAAGACAAAAAAACATGAACTTTATAAAAAGTAATTATCTTTGGCTACCAATATTAGTAGCATCTCTCCACATATCTGCAGCTATGGTTGCTCGCCAATGTCTTGCATACTCTCTTTCTTGCTCTTGGGTTTCAACATTTTCTTCACCACCATTTTCTTCAGAATTTTGATTTGCATTGTCAACATCTGTTTCATCTTCTTCATCACTTGAAAATTCATCTGACCGACATTTCTGGCGAAGAAAGTTATGTAAGGCAGCAAATGCAAGAACTATCTTTGCTTGGGTCTTAAAAGAAAACGGTGGTTGTGGAAGTCGAAACTAACACAATCGAGATTTGTCTAGGGTTTTATTTTAGGGATACGATAATCGTGAATTCTCAAAGAACAACAGAAACGATTGTAACCAAAGATGGTGTTCTTGATATTATTAAGAAAAAGATGACTTTGATCGTACAAGAGTTTGATCGTAAAAGGAAAAAGATGTTTGTGCTGTGAGAGCTTTGCGTAGTGTAAATTCTAGAGCGATATTGCTTGCCCTTTCGTTTGAGCCTTGAATCTCTTTATATAGGGATGATAAACCGCCTCTCCAGCGATATTCTCGGAAGATTTCCATTTATCTTGAAGTCGGCCAGAATATCGCGGATTAGGACAATTTCCTTATTCTTTGGAGTTTTCGGAAGATTTCCTGATTTGAGTTGATCCTTCGCGATTCTTCCTTATCATTTCCGAGTTTATCGGAAATGATCCTTCTTTTTCGGAAATGACAACTTGCTTGGAAATGATACCTTTAAAGAAGAATATTTACTAAGTCTTTGCTTCGGGCGATGATGAAGACTTCGCCTCGGGGAACTTGTGCAACCGGCTCGGGCACTTGAAGGGAGCCGGCTCGGGTTCACAAGCTTGCTGACGGACCCCGAGCAGACTACGGGTGTTCCCCGAGGCAACCAATGCAGTGACCCGAGGTGAATGGCAGTCTGACCCGAGGTGAATGGCAGTCTGACCCGAGGTGAATGGCAGTTTGACCCGAGGTGAATGACAGTTTGCACCGAGGTGTCTTCAGAAGTTCCCTGAGGCGTTCGAAGTTCGGCTCGGTGCTATGGGATGAAATCCGACCCCAACAGTTAGCCCCCCAGCTCGTTGGTTCGAAGAGCAACCGATGAGCTTCACGACTGTTAGTCCGAGCCGTTTTAACTTTGTTCCGAGCCCATCCTTGTATGCCGCGAAATTTTCAATGCTTCAAAGATGGTTAGTATCCTTCGGTGATTCTGATTCTTGACGATTCAAATCTCTTTGGCGCTTCATCTTCTTCTAGCGCGTGTGACGGTTGAGATTCTACCTCGAGAAGTGGAAGAGTCCTCTGCTGATTCCCGAGAACCGTGCGGATGCGAAGTATCTTAATATTGGTCACGCGCACCCGACGCGCCCGAGACTTGGGCGGATGCGAAAAATTATTAAACTCGTGTGTACCCGACGCGCCGAAGCGTTCCATAAATATCCGACTCCTGCTTCATTTTCTCATTTCGCAATCTGCAAGGAAAATTTCTAAGGCTTCTTTTCTCTCTGATCTTGATCTCTTTAATTTCCTCTGCTTTGCTTTATTTTCCGTCGTTCCTCCGCCGTGCCAGATCTTAGATTTGGTTTTTCCGATTTCGAATCTTGTTTTTCCGATTCTTTTTGATTCACCCGAGCCGAAGATGTCACTCTCTGATTCAAGTGATTCGTCCCGAGGCAGAAACATTCTTGTTCACGAAAGGAAAATGGTCTGGAGCAGTCCCTCGGAAGGAACCGAGGCTAGTTTTTCAGATTGCTCCGAGCGGAACGGCGATAGTGAAGCAAAATCGTCATTCGTGGACCGAGATCCGAGCCAATTTGTGGCTCGGGAAGATACAGTTGCGAATGTGGCTCGGGATGAGGATCTTCCCGATGACCCCGAGGCAGCTTTAAATACGGGGAGAACGCATCCTCCGTCTAAGGACGAAGCTGGGGGCTCTCGTTGGCAAAAAGCGCCCGAGCCGTCTTTGCTCCCTGTAAAGGCCGAGGCGATTCACTATAATTCCGACGCGGAGGCGAGAATGCTTCAGGCCAGGATGCAAGCGGCTAAGGCTCTGCAGCAAAAGACGAAGCGAGCCAGAAAAGTAAGAAGGCCCGACCCCCCTGGTTCTACGCTATCCACCGAGGACTCCCTCAAAGAGTTGAGAGTTCGGTTCGGTTTCAGTGAAGGAGTCACGATGAGGCTCCCGACCCCGAGTGAACGAGCCGATAATCCTCCCGAGGGGTTCTTCACGTTGTACGAGGGGTTTTTCAGTTTTTGTTTCCTGTGGTTCCCTCTCCCGAGGCTGATCGTTGAGTATTTGTGGTCGTACAAGATTGCGTTGGCTCAGATCTCAACTCGTGGACTGCGGCATCTTATTGGAATCTTAGTAAGGAGTTTCGAGGCGGATAAAGTTTTGTCCCTCGGGCATCTAAGGAATTTTCTGGAGGTTCGTCGTAGCCCGGGTCCTCTGGAAAGATACTACATCTCGCCGAGCAAAAATAAAAAGATCATTGGCGGGTTCCCGAGCAAGGACGAGAAATACACTGATCATTTCTTCTTCGTCTCGATTGACGAGGACTCCGTCCCCGAGGGATGCCTTGATAAAATTGTTGCGAAATGGGGCAAAATCGGTAGTTTACCCGAAGCGTTTGAGTTTTTCTTTCTGTCGTGATTTGATCGATTTGTTCTGACCAGTTTTGTTTTCGTTTTCAGATCGTAACCCGACGTTCCTCGAGCTTGTTCCCGAAGATCTTTTAGAAACTCACGAGGAGTTGACTTCCCGGAAGTGTAACTGGACCAAGCATTTTACGCTCAGAAGAGTCGAGAAAGCGCTGAGATTACTCCGAGGCGTGTCCTGTTCATCATCATCATCCTCTTTGGATCACCGATTGAGCGGCTATATGGAGATGCAGAAGGCGAAGATGACGCTGAGGGAGAAAAAGGCTGCTGAGAAGGAAGCGGCCGAGCAGAAAAGAGCCCTCGAGGCGGTCTTCAAACCTTTGACCGAGGAGTCTAGAAGGCCCGAGGCGTCCGATCTTCCCGAGGCGTCTGGCAGGCCCGAAGTGGTTAAGGGCCCCGAAGGATCCGGGGTTGATCTAGCTGTTGCTTCGGTTCCTCCCGAAGCGGTCGACGATGTCCCAGTTGGGGACAGTGGAGTTCGAGCTCCCGAGGTCGAACACACTGAAGTTGTGGTCGGCTTGGCTGCTGGTAGACAGGCCAAGTCTAAGGGAAAACGTCCTCGGGGCGACCACTCTACCGATAGGAGGAAGAGGTCGAAGAGCGATCACGGCAGCTCTCGACCAATTTACAAGGACAAGGTGGCTTCGGCCAACCTTGTTGCTTCGTGTGCGTGGCCTTTGTTGACGGCCCCTGAGAATTTGGCCGAGGCGGAGAGATACGCCGAGACTTCGGCCAACTTTCTGAAGGTAATAATTTTTTTTGTTGAACCTCTTGTTTTGAAGTTCTTTTCCGTTCCTAACATGTCATTTTATCCCCAGGCTTTCTCCTCAATGAACACGCTGGTTCGTTCTTACGAATCCATGAACCGTCAGCATGAAGCTGCCAGCGAGCAGTTTGAGATAGCTCGTGCAGAATCGGAGAGGAGAATAGCCGAGGCGGCTACAGCGAAAGAAAGTGCGGAGGCCCTTGTCGCAGCTGAGCAAGAGGCGAGGCGGAAAGAGGCCGAGGAGAATGCTCGAATTCGGCAAAAAACCGAAGCAGAGGTTGAGCGCCTCAAACGCCTGCTCGCCGAGGAGAAGTCTCTTCGGGAGGTCGAGGTAGCCCGAGCCAGGAAAGCTGCGAAAAGGGCGGTCACTGAAGAGTTCGCCAAACAGATCAGGACGATCGAGGCGAAACTGGAACAGTTTGACCAAGTTGCCGACCGTTACATGTACTTCTCCCAGGCCAAAGCAAACGCCGAGCTGATTGCCGAGCTCGAAGGGGGCAAGTCGATCGAGGACGAGAAGAAAGAGGTAGAGGCATGGAAAGAAGAGTTCGGGGATGTTGAAGCGGAGTATTCTCGGCTTGCGGTTGAACTGCTCGGAACTTTGAAAGTTCCTCAGGTATCACCCGACTCTGCTCATGATAGCCTCGGGAATAGGTCGGTGGAAGGCGACGCGACCGAAATCGGAGTTATCGATCAAGCAGGAACGTTTCTGGATCCTGCGGCAGCACATGCCGAGGAGCGAGACGAATAAGCCCGAGGCGTCTCTTGTCTCCTTTTTCTTCTGTTTTTTTTTTTTTTATTTCTTTTGTAAAACGTATGCCTGGACGGCTTTATCCATCTGAATGCATGTTTCTTGAATCCGATACCAGTGGTGAGTAACTGGGTTTATGATATGCCCGTCGAGAAGTTATTTCTTCCCAATAGTATTAACTTCCGAGCCGAAAACGAAAAGAATCGTGCGCCAGTGTCAATTCAAACGTTTTAACCTCCGAACCGAATTATACACCGATGTCAACGTAATTGGGTTTTGGTAAGAATGAGTTTTGGTTCAGTAGAAGTTAACTTTCGGAATAGCGAACCAGTGTTAAGATAACTGGGTTTTTGTAAGTGAGACCACAAAAAGTTAATTTCTCCCGAACCGTTTCAACTTCCGAACTGAAAGTGAAAAGGATCGTTTACCAGTGTTAAGGTAACTGGGTTTTGGTCATATGGGACTAATCTTTATCGGTTGCGACCCGAGCTGATATAGTCGATACCAGTGCTTAGAAGCGAACTGGGGTACCAGTGTCGAAGTCAACTGGGTTTTCTGAAGACAATTTCTTTATGGCAAGATATCTCCGACCAAATCGTCTCGACTGTTTATATAGCGCGCTGTAACCGAGGAGGTGAAAAGAGCTTTTTCTGTCCGAGGACGTGGCCATCGTCCGAACGAACTTTTAGCTTTATAGGTCGATAAGATGACCGTTAAAATCTCCGAGGTGGATAAGATTGATAATCCGAAGGGGAAAAACTTAAGAGAATTTGAAAAATTTAGTGGGAGTATATATGTATACGGACCCACTCCCCCCCTTTTTTAATTAGGGGGGGTAGCTGAACTCGTCCGATGACGAGCTGCCTACGTACCCTTTTCAGGGATCAAGCCACCCCGTAGTTCAAGTACATGCGTACCTTAGGTTTTTAGCGGTAATATTTCCTTAGATGCATTGCGTTCCAGGATCTAGGTACCCCTTTGCCGTTCATGTTGATGAGTTCGTAGACGCCGGGACGGATTACCTTTGCGATCGTGTAAGGTCCCTCCCAATTCGTACCGAGCTTACCTGCGTTCT